ATGCGCAGAAATGCAATTTTCTTATTTATGGAACAATTAAAACGAAATTTGGATGGTAGGTCCTCCTAATAAAAGAAAACAAAATGCATGCGCAAAAAATTGAGTTGCGCATGTGCAACATCCAACTTTCTTATTTATGGAGCAATTTTAACGAAATTTGGATGGTAGGTCCCTCTAATAAAAGCAAACAAAATGCATGCGCAAAAATCGTGTTGCGCATGCGCAGAAATGCAACTTTCTTATTTATGGAACAATTTTAACGAAATTTAGATGGTAGGTCCTTTTAATAAAAGCTAACAAAATGCATGCGCAAGTGCGTACATATGTTGGCAATTTTTGGTTTCAGCTAGGAAGCTATTCTGTCAAGAATTTGACACCTGGTTTTATATTATGAGAAAGACTGGTTACTACGGAAGCGCAGGAGGAGCCCCAACAATATTTCTTCTTGAAGTCAACATTTTTGCAACACGAAATTTCGACCTAAGTACAACACGAAATTCGGCAAAAAATAACATATCAAATTGATGTGGCTCCTCTGCGCTTCCGTAGGTTACGCTATCGACGATTCGTCTATGTTTATTTAAATTGAGTGTAGGGTATTATTAGATAAAAAGGCGAAATGATTATTTTTATTTAATTTGAAGAGACATTTAGTTTGCAGATTTTCCCTTGTATAGAATTTCCTTATCTTTACAAATTATTTGTTGGGCACTATTTTATGTATAAAATTGGAAATGTACCTTAAAAATAAATGGGTTTATTTGGATAGGACAATAATTGATAGCATTTTGTTTACCGCAAAATAGTTTTACAAGTGTTTTAAAGAACCCATACACGGTACGATCGATCTATTCGATCCGTCGCTTCAGACCGATCGAAATGACGAAGCGATAGTGTATGTCAAGATCGTTAACGATTTAGGTACTTAATCGAATGGAATATCGGACATAGCAACAACAAGTTAAAAAGTAATCGTAAACGATTTACATAAAGCGCATTTCCACTTGCATTCATTTCCCATTTGTAAGATGCAACTTTTGTTAAAATTGTAAAAATCCGGCCACAAATATGACAGATAGCGTTGCACATGTGCAATCCATTTTTGACGTGCTACTTCAATTTCAGTTTATAAGAAGAGTTTCATTTCAATGCTTTTCTAAATAAGAAAGTTGGAACTGCGCATGCGCAAACCTAAATTTTGAAGCTAACGTTAGATTTTCCTTTGTTCCAAGTGGCTATGTATCAAATTTCATTTAAATGCTTCCATAAATAAAAAAGTTGGCACTGCGTATGCGCAAAACCAAATTTTTAAATTGGCATTAGCTTTTCCTTTATTCCAAAGTATTCCAAGTTGCCGGCTACTCCGAATCTAATTCGTAAGGTAAATACCGGAGTAGTATAGAACAACTTAAGACCGTCTGCAGAGGCACCTCTAAAAAGCATTATGCGTTAAATTTGCTTTTATTCCAAGTGGCTATATATCAAATTTCATTTAAATACTTTTATAATTAAAAAAGTTTGCAATTCGGTTTACAAATGGCCGAGATGCAAAAAGGGCACTGTGAATTTTGAATCGATTCGACTCAACTTTTGGCACTGCGTATTATATGGCTAAAGCTATGCCCATACTGAATTTCATGCAATTCAGTTCATAACTAACGAAGATGTAACAGCGATCGGATATTTCTAAACAAAGTTATCGTTCACACGGACAGATAGAGGAACAGACAGACAAAGGAACAGACGGACAGACCAAAAGACAGACGACAGACAGCAATACAAAATTATAAACGATCTCTAGGATCGTTAATAAACGGCAAAAGTGTAAAATTATGGAACATGTAAAAAACGGTTTTTTGTTTTTTTACAATAACTTTTTTGTAAGCGGTACAGAAAAAATTCTTTCCTTGGTGCAAGACTCGACACCATAACGAACCAAATAGCGAAAACAGTAGAACAATAGCTCTTAAGATAAAAAAACTAGTAGCGTCTCAAAACGAACGGACGGACAAAGTTGCCACAATAGCGCATTTTTTTAAATTGTGGAAATGCGCTAAAAACGCATGTTCTCATGCCATTACTCGATACTTATCCCTCGGGCCGGAGGTAAGGCTGCCAACTTTTTACAATAGCTATGCGGGACAAAATCGGGTTTCAAATCTTGTCCGTAACATTTGAAAACATACTTAATCATTTATACAACATTTCCGATTTTATTTTATTTCCCAATGAAAAGCGAAGTTATTGCCATTAACATTTGGATAAAACTAATGCAAAGACACAGCTTAAAGCCGAATGTCGAAGTGCGACAATTTGAATTTGTTTCTTGCGTTGGAGAGTTTTTTGTTGTCATCTAGCGATAGCGAAGATGATGAACTAGCCATATAACTTCTACTTTACAAAAAGTTGCATTTACTCTTTAAACTGAACGCCAAAAATTGGTTCTTTACAGGAATTTCAAATTTATATTCCTCATTGTTTATCATAAATAATAGTGAAATCGTTTCAGTCATTTTTTAGAATACAGATTTGTCGATTACCTAAATCATTGTATAAATACAAATCTAAAATGAGGTTATGGACAAATGATAACAAATATTTATGTTCCATTGAGAGCAATTTTCACATGCATTTCTTCAGTTTCTCGTGCAACACTCGTGCAGTACGAGTTTTGCCAATCGAAAACGCTATAAAATTCATTAGTGTGGGCGCTGGGCGCGTTGGGGATTCTGCTCGCGATCGTGTGTGCACGCATACAGTCGATGGTCTCAGTTCGGTACTTAGTTGGTGTATGGTCCAAGTCTGGCCTTCGTGGAACTTTCCAACCCTGGGTTGCAGACTCCAACCATAGACATATAAGTATTAGCATAAATTCAATGGTGTTAGCATATGTCTATGACTCCAACGACAAACAACCCAAATATACTGATAACAGATTTTCCATTCCAGATTGCCAACGAATTATACCTGCACAAAGAAACATTTCACCACGGACCACCAACTTGTGCTAATCTTAAGGACTTCCGATCCGAGACTACTATTTTGACTTACCGTATACATACAGAGTTGGCAACGCTGAGAAAAATTACAAGCAGCGCCATCTAACTGTTAGGTCATAATAATGATGGACGTTTCGCGCCACTTTTAAAACTTGGTACCAGTCGATTCGGAAACTTGGTACGAAATGGAAATTGTACTTATATACGTGGAACACAGAACGTGGAATGAAAATCAGATAATCAAGTCAACGTCAAATGTAGCGAAACAAATAAAAACGAGATATAAGTATACAAAGTGACATTCTTAATGAATACAAATGGAAAAAAGATAAATTTAGTACCAAAAACATGCAACACATTTACGGTTCAATTTAGACAAAACAACTCACAAAATGATAAATTGCATGTTCTTTAAAACACTGAGAATGGCGCTGCTCCGTCATAGTCTACCATTAATTTAACACGAAAAAGTGCAGATGAGACTGGAAGTAGTATTTAAGTTCAAGTCTATTACCACACAAACAAACTCCCATACTAAACAGAAGAAAAACTAATCAGAGTGCTCCCCTTCTCGTATTGCTTGCGCACAGTCCGCCAGCGCCCACGAGATGATAAGGGAACAGATACAGCAAAAAATTGGAACTGTACTAGGTGCTGTCTGCACAGAATAAACGGTTGATCGAATCATACAGGGCAACTCACACTATATAATATCCTCTCGTGAAAATAGCTACATAAATACATTTTTAATAAAATTATTTAAAGGCATAACCATCCTATCGATCACAACAAAAAATATGATTCAGTTTTAGGTAATGGTAGGTAAATACTTACTTACACAGAAGAGTAGTTAGTAAGGGAAAGAATAAAATGATTACTACCTGTAATTATACTTTTCAAAGAAAATTATTTTTTATTTTATTTTATTATCCCTCTCTTGTTTTGGGCCCTCGACAGGCATGCGCCCAATTACAGAGTGACCCGCATAATGCTATTTAGAGGTGCCTCTGCAGAAGGTCTTAAGATGGTCTATACTACTCCGGTATTTACCTTACGAATTAGGAAAACTGCAGGAAAACCTAATTCGGAGTAGCCGGTAGAATGCTCGGAACTGGTCTAAGGTAATTTCCATCTCCGCCACAGATGAAAAATTCACCTCAACCCAGGTTCGAACACCCGACCTCCGGATTTATAACCCAATGCTCTTACCACTGAGCCATAAATCCGTTTTTTATTATTACTTCCTGATTGGCAGATTTGAATATTCATAATTTTAGGAAACAGTCAGTGGCGTAGACCAATTCAAAATTTGATTATATTGAACTAATTATCATTGAACGATAGATGGATGATTCACATTGCATAATTCAACTGGATGGTAGATTTTGAGTCTCATTATGGTTATCACCCAGTAGGTTGGAATGTTTGATTTTTGCTATGAATTTCATTGCAAAACATTGGCCCGTATGAATAAAATGATGCATATGCTTATACTTGCAAAATTCAAAGTAAATACTTAGAAGTGCCCCTTCATACTGGTCTCTTTAGCAGCGCTGCACTGCGTCCTGTCCTGCTGCTCAGCAGCGCTGCTAAGTCGCCCAGTGTGAAGGAGCACTTACGAGTATTTACTTTGAATTTTGCAAGTATAAGCATATGCTTCATTTTATTCATACGGGCCATTGAAAACCTTTTTATCATGATTAAGTCTAGGATGTGACTATAACAGAATTAAAGTAGGTACTTGTTAAAAAACATGGTTAAATATCATATGAATTAAGTTAGTTTTTCCTTTTCCCTAAAGAATTTACTGTAGCGTCACCTGGAATCAACACTACCTACTCGACTCCCACTCTTGAATCATGATACTTGCCATTTGTTAAACTATTGTGAAAGAGAAGCGTTAGTGAAAAGTTGTACTATTATAAACTGTGTTAATTATTTTCGAAATCTTTACAACCATGTCACAAAAACAGTATTACATGAAATTTTACCAGTTCATCATTACTACCGAAACACTTTTTTTATTATTTACACATCTAAAAGAAAATATTCCTAAAACACTTTTTCTGAAACAGTCTTTAACAGTACAAAAAAGAAAATAACTTATAATTTACACTATTATATATATAACACCTTTGTACAATGCTAAAATATAATACAAGTATTAAGATTGCGAATGTGGTTCCACCGAAAGAAATCTTGAGGTTTGTGTTATTATGTTATCTCCACATGAGGAATAACCATTGTGAAAGACGTCAGGAATTTGTACCAAGGATTCTACCAATGTATCTTCTTCTAAAAACGAATCTAACAAGCCACGAGACTGAGTTAGCTTTTCTAACGACTTTACATCATTATCTACTGCCGCCAGCGCTCTCTCCAATTCTTCCGTTTCTTCTCTGGTGGGTTCATCGTATTCTCCGTTACGATCCACTAAATTGAGAATATTATTAATTGACCTTCTATTACACAATCAAGAGTACATACCGGCAAAGAAATCGTTAAACTCATCTGCTTGAATCGTACTTAAAACATTATTAATTTCGCTCTCCTCCAACAGGTTTGAAGCCTGATTCACAAGTACTTGCTCTACAGATACCAACTCCAAACCGTCAGATTCTTGCAACGAAAGTGCATGCTCGACGATATCACCACTAGCAATCTCCGTCCGTTCTTCTGATACCACTGCAGAAAAAAATGCGTTAATTAATTCACCAGTACGAGAATGCAGTGCGTACCAGAATTGGACACCGGTTCTAACTTACATTTGAAGTGAACACCATCTATCGTTTTAAGAGGCCGTTTTTTCTTTTTGTTGCGTTTTTGTGAACGTATCATTGCGGAAGGTTTGACTTTTTTACGTAATTTCTTTGGTTTTGTTTCTTGGAACATCCTATAATTATCCTGTAACAGAAATTTGGTTATTAAAGATTTGGCAAAACAATCTTTGTTTAAAGAAATGCAGATGCAATAACATAATCAATATATTCAGTAGTGATGATTTGCATCGCTAAATTCAAATTTAGTTAGTGCTAACAGCATAGGTAGTGTTACAAGATTATTTTCTTCAGAGGTAAGTTGTGCACCGCAATAGACAACATTAGGGTAGGTAGCAAGATAGTTTTAAGAACATATTTGGTACTTTTTGTACTAAAAAATAAAGTTTGCGTGGGAAAACTAGAATTACAGGTATGTTGTAACCATACATTTTAGAAACAATCAATTTTGACGAAGCGTCATCTGAGCGGGGTGGTAATCTGCAGATAAAAGCGCACAGTCGCCATCTTGGAAGTTATGCTGTCAACTTTTATGTCACGAAGTAGTATTTTATACCTTCCTTCTTACTTTTATACTTAATAGTAATGGGAATTTACTCGAGTGCTGTAGGGACCTATTGAACGCAAAAAAGTTACATTAAAATACTCGAGCGCGTCAGATATTGATAGGTAGTGTCTCTGATATTGGAGGTATGTTAATATGCCAATTTGCATGGCAGGGGAGGCTGTACGGAAGGGTAGAAAACAGAATTTATTCGAGGGCGTCAGATATTCATTGGGGGATGTTAAGTGAACCCACGTTTATTTCTCTTCTTTCTTTCCTTCTCTAAAGTTGTAAGTATCCGACAGCCAACTTTTACATAGTGCTGTTATAGTTTATTTCCTAGAAGATATACTTTTTACCCGTCCTATGCGGAGAAAATGGAAACGTTTTTGAATACCTTTTTAGCGCATTTCAACATGAATTTAAAGAAAATGCACTATGCTGTCTGTCCGTCCCTACAGCCATTTGGTCGCTACTAGTTCTTTTTCTTAAGAGCTATTGTTCTACTTTTTTCGCTATTTGATTCGTTATGGTGTCGAGACTTGCACCAAAAAAGAAATTTTGTCTGTGCCACTTACAAAAAAAGGTTTATCATGTACCATAATTTTACACTTGTGTCGTTTATTAACGATCCTCTGCCCGTCTGACTGTCCGTGTGCAGTTGTCCACGATAACTTTTGCAATTTTTTTATTTGTCAAAATACTTAAATGAAATATTGTATGTAGGTAAATAAAAAATAAATAAAAGTTAAATTAATGCCGAATCAAAAAATTTGTTTTGCAGATGCACAATTCGATTTTTTTTATTTGTGAAGATAATTAAATGAAATTTTGTATGTAGACACCTTGAATAAGGGTAAATCTAATGCTGAATCATAAAATTCGATCTGACTAAAAATTTTTCTTCTTGTAAACTGAAATTCAAATAGAGCATTAAAAATAGATTGCCATGCTCATTTTCTTCTTTGTGGCCAGATTTTTACGACATTGTAACAGAAGTTGAATCTTACAAATGGGAAATGAATGTAAGTGGAAATGCGCAGTTTGTAAATCATTAACGATTACTTTTTTAACTTGTTCAACATAGGTAGGTACCTATCTATGGTAAGTTATTCTTATTATGTATTACTTATTTCACATATTATAATAAGTCTTAGTTCCAGTTATTCTTTAAGAACTTGTGTAATTATGTGAAGAATTTAATAAGCTGTCATACGGTGTAATAATATACAGGGTGTTCTAATCATATTTTTGTTATCTAACAAATGCGATGTTGTTTTGTTTTCTTAACTTAATTTGAAACAAGACTGTATATGATCTAAGAGTTTAGCATTATTCGAGAAAGGAAGTAATAATAGATGGCGCTACAATAATCCAAAATGGTTGGTTTAAACGGGGTTACAAGAGTGTTTACATTGCTTCTAACCTGTTAAATGTGTGTTCCTGTACGCAATAATGATTAGTTTGGCAGATTTAATAATTTATTTAAACGGTGCCCAAAGGTAAAATGTTTACTACACACTTGCATTGTTGGTGTGATTGGTTTTTCCACTCGCGAGTAGGTAAGTATTATATTTTTAATGGGAAAACGATGCATAGATACACCTTTTTCATATGATGTATAACACTGCGGAACGCTACAATAATTTTTACTTTCATTTTTCGTGGGATTTGTGCACTTGGTCATGTTGTTTACCCGGAATACGTTAGTTACAACATTTATCCGCTAACGTCGCCACTATCTCTCCCCCTCTCGAATACTGTGTCCATTTGATGCTTCGTCATGAACACTTTATATGGCAAACTGGAAACACATCATTTACATATGGTGGAAATGTTGACTTTAAACTTAGCACAAGTGCTGCAGACGGGGTTCCACACAACTGCGCCACACTGGCCGGCATTATTTTTAAGGGATAGGGTACCGATTCAAGTTCTATGGCTTTAGTAATATTGGATTCAGGTTCCAGTTGTTTTCCGGTTTTCAAGGGTTCCACCATAAATAAATAAAATTATTATCAAAAAATAAATTATTATTAATTATGACAAATGGAATATGGTAGCCCCCGACAAGATTTTACATTATTATTTTGCAGAAACATAATTTTTTTAGGTTTACTTGGACCTATTTTTTAGCTTGCGCGTTAACCTCCGTCAACTGCTCGCCTTTTTCTACTTTCCGCAGCAGTTTCAACTAAGTATTGCTTTCCTCAGACATTCTTCAATTCACTTACTGTTTTTGATTCATTTTCGGTATTAGTCATTCAACCATATTTTGTCTAGTATTAAGGTAAACTGGTAGAAACTACTGTGACAGCTGCAAATGAAAGTAAGAACTTTTGGTCTACGCTACATTATTTACTCCCCCAAGAGTTTTAAATCTTCCTTAATGTGCTAGACTCAATCAGTTCTTTAAAAAAGTTACACTACTACTTCATTCCTCATGTTATAAAATGTACTAACTCCTCATTGTTACAATCCGGCTTACGAGATCACCCGTTGTCGCTGAATTTTAAAATGACACTCAGTCTGAATAAAAGGAATAATTTTGACTTGGATGAAAAAATAACTGTATTGCTAGCAAAGTCAAATTAATGAAGCCAACATCTACAGCGCCATCACAGGGCAGTTGTGCGTTTTGTGAAACGAAATTTGGCACACGTCAATGTTACGAGATTTAATTTGGGTGTTTTATAGCGATTTTATGTAATTTTGTGTTAGTTAGTTGTGTTCTTTTATATAATTAATTAAAAATGAGACGCTGAAGTTGTTTGGTAAAAAAATGTGATGTAGTTTATAACCTTAAAAACAAGGACATTAAAACAGAAACGGTTCCTTCAATTTTCCCAAATACATCAAATGAAAATGTCGATAGTTTCTCCGACCAAGAACAAGTTGAAGAAATGACAGTAGATGAAAATGTACCTACACACTTTCCCTCATCGTCATGGAATGGTGACGACGCTGCAATAAACATGTACATTTGTTAAATAAAAGTTTATTCCACGATCTATTGATATCATTATCCAAAAATTATATCTACTTCAAATTTATTTATTATATAAATTAATTCATCAGGTATAAAGTTAAACAGTTATCGTATAAATATTTTGTGTGGATATACTTGTCCTTGCAAATTGCATATTTAGCGCCTCAGATTTAGTTCTCATTTTAGTCATACCCAGTGATCGCGCTGCAGATGTTGGCTTCAATTTTTATATTAAATATTATACGACGCTAGCAGTCCAGGTTTAAATGGGCGAAGAATTTTGATTAATGCACGGTTGCCACACTAATTTCTACCAACTTAAGCATTAACTAAACAATATTACCTGACTTTTTTGTCATACGTAAAATGGTCATGGGAAAGATTGCGTTTAACCCTACCCATCTTACATATAACTCTCGCCAGGAAAGATTGCCGATCACAGCACACCTTGTGTCAATTTACAATGTATGTTTTTTTAAAGATGCGAGCGACTTCCGGAATAGGATCCCGGAAGTTGCTCACATCTTTTGAAAAACAGATTGTAGACCGTGATCAGGTCTTCTGTGACCGGCAATCTTTCCTGGCGAGAGGTTTATTATATTTTATCATTAATAAAATGAAATGTTGTTCGTTGGTAAGAGCATCACTTGAGAATGGCTGGACCGATTTGGCTGATTTTTTTTTTAAAGACGGACAACGAACCAGAGAAGGTTTTTGGCCGCTCTATGTCCTGAGACGGAGCTCCGGGGAGCACGAATTTGAAAAAACGGGGCACCCGTAGCGCTACCGTGACGCTCGCACTTCGAGCGCCATCTACGATACTCGGTGGCAGGTTTTCGAACTAAATCGTTTGCTTCGGTCGTCGCGCTTGCCCGACTTGCCCCGCGCTTAGCTGCTTTCCATGGTTCTTTGTATTATTTCAGTTCACTTTAAGTGCTGTGTGTTCGCGTGTGCGTTCCATGGTTCTTTGTCGCGGACAATACGATTACATTGTTTCAGTTTAGTGTAAGTGCTGTGTGTTCGCGTCTTCGCATTGCAATGCCGCCCATAAGACGAAGTAAATTAGGTCGCCGTACTCGCAATGCTGCACATCAAAGCAATTTTCGATCTGCACAAAATGCAGAGCAACGCGAACATCGAAATGAAATTGAACGGAATCGATTATCACGAACACGTTCAACATATACGCAAGAACAGAGAGAAAATTCAAACGAAGATGATATGCTTCGAATGAGACGTTATCGGTCGGTTGAAGCCAATCGCGCTGCAATGTGTATGAAGACAAACATATAGTGCGTTGAATACTTATCGAGCAGCATTCCGTTACAACGCGACAACTGATTACAGTGCAGATCAATCCGTTGCTATCGGATCGATGAGTGTTGTATGTTCACATTGTACAGCATTGAAATACAGACATGAAACCCCTGGATTGTGTTGTGCAAATGGCAAAGTGAAATTGGCGCCATTGGTTCCCCCACCGGAGCCACTGCGCTCATTGGTTTCTGGAAAAGGAACCGAATCCAACCAATTCCTCAGCCACATCCAAAGTTACAACAGTTGCTTCCAAATGACTTCGTTTGGCGCAACAAAT